CCAGCAACACGACACCGCGAGTCATCGATTATCTTTTTACTGTATTTGTCATCCACCGCGGTGATTATGTTTATCTCTTCTATTAATACATTCTTTGTATTAAAGCCTCACACATTGGTCCACTGTAAATGAAAATCTGAGTGCAACTTTTATATGGTAAAGAGGTCAGGTACATTGTACATGTTGGTTTAGAAGCCCCACAACTACCATTTGGTACATGTGTTTTCTCACCGGTCATTCTTGGCAAATGACTGTGGCTCCCTGGATTTCATCAGGACCTTACTCTGCGTTAAATCGGGACGGTTCAACTGTATCATATGATCCAGTGTCCGCATCACATTGACTTGCCTGATTAACGTAGTCGATGCAAAAGCATTTCCAAGTCACTCATTGTCCGACATGGTTTAATTTCACAGTTAAGTTTGAGCAAGTACACTGCTTCCATGGTTGGGCGCATTTGCCCGGTTTCGAAATAATGAAGAAGTCATATAATTGCAGAGCTGTAGTGTGACATCATCAAAACAGGCTGCTATTGGATGCTTCTGGCGACTTCTGTTTTCATTTTGAGTGATATGAAGAATTTCAACTCATGCTTTTGATGGAAGTAGCAATTTTTATTTAGTATTTTACATACATGTAATAGATTGTTTTGAATATTACTGAATTAAAAAAAAATTACCAATGAATTACCAATGTGACTGATATTTAAGCTTTATAATTCCTTTAAGATTAAAATTGTGTGTACAATTAAGCACAACTGTACATGGGCAATTCAGTGGAAATGTCAACCTGATGGTAAAAAATTGTTTTTTGAAGCTTATTAACGGCATATTTCAAACACAATACTCAATTCTATTTTAATTGTGTATTTCACCAGAAACAATTATTAAATTGCCATTTCAGTGACATTTCACCTATTAAGAGAATTTTGGAAATTTTTCTTGTACATGTATATTGTAATTCTTGCACAAAAAGCCTTGATTGAATGCATACCATTCCAAATAAAAAAAATTAGCCCTTTACCACTTCGTGCCAGTGGCATTTCTAAACATTGATTCTCCTGGGTCAGGGTATTTTTTCATTTTTATCTGTTTTAAAATTCTTTAAAGGATCCAGGAAATGAATTTTTCTTGAAATCAAGTTTGTGTATCTCTGTACTCTTCTTCCACGTATGAAGACTGTTTGACATCTTATTTGAGTTACGTGAACTGAACGGTGCACTTTTTTAAACATTAAAATTTAACCAAGCATTTCTGGATAAGTGAGGATGCTTTTGCTTTGATGTAAATCCAGGAAGACATGGTTCAGGTTGCATGTTTTCATGTTCAAATTGTGAACCCCAAATTTGCTATCTGGGAACATTTCTGTGAAAAGAATTTTTGCTGGATTATTGCCATATGCTTACACAGCAATAAACTGCCAAAGAAATGAAATCTGCCATCTCAGTGGTTAAAAGAATCTAGAAATTTTCTGAGCACAGATCAGTGCAACATTGAGATTCAGCGCCTTGGATGACATCATACATGTAGTTATGCTCATGAATATGCAAAAAGCATTAACATAGAAACCAAAAAAGCAGCAAAATATGGTTCACAAAACAGACCTTTAAAAGCAGATTAATTGAAATCAAAAGATGCAATTTCAAGGGGTTTTTAGTAAGATTTATTAAAATATTTCTATTTCCTGGTTTCTTTTAAAATTTATACATGTATCTTCATTTACTGGATACTTACTCCCACACGAATGAGTGTCTTGTGGCTACTCCAATCTGACAGACAAGATTTATTGACGCCGTATTTCAGCCAGGCCTGCCGCCTTGTAAAAAGAGCTCACATCATGCGGTGTTATGTTAATTTCTTTTGTTCCCCATACAGGCACAGTGCGCTGCTGACATCTTTTCAATAGGGGCCAGATTAGCGTGTAGTGGTACTGTATGGCTCATCGCTGCAGCAGTGGAGTGCTTTTGTCCCTGGTTGTAATCTGCTTGCACTGAATGCCACAAACAGTGGTATACTGTTTCAAAACAATGGTGGATTATCTTCTCTATTGACAATGAAAACATGTTAATAATTCCCTGCTGCCTGTTCTTTTGGTATGAGTACAGTCTTTTGTTACAAGGCACGGTTCCCTTTTTCCGATTTTGGGCACCCCGGCTGTGCATATAAAGAATACGTGTGTGAAACCGGGCTCCTTGGCAGCAAGTGGTTAACTACAAATCCTACAGATTTAAAATTTCGCTGAAATGATGTGGACTTCAGTCTGTTACTGAATTATCAAAAACATTTTTTATGCCATTTGAATAAATTAGATTCATTTTCTTTTCTGGATTGTCTGTTATCACCAGTCAGTGAACAAATACGGAAAAGAAAATGCACACACCTGTTGTTTATTATCAAATTGACCATGGTAATAGACTGACTGACAGTAACAGGCTGACTTACATATACTGTATATATATGTACAAGTCTATGGCTCTAAATGCAAAGCACTAATTCTGGTTAAAGCGTATAGTTCTGCTGTGGTCCAAGGTGAATGGGTTTTTGTCACTGCTTTGACTGTATATTTTGTTTCCTCAAATTTTACATGATTGTTTGTGGGCATGCAGTACTTGACATTGTGAACTTAAATTGGATGTGTTGTGACCTCCAGAAGAGGGTGCTTTATTAATTTTTTCCCCACATTTTTGGCAAAAAAATACAGTATTTTGGGCAGAACTTTTACATTTTGCATCCTAATGTATTCAAATATGGTACAAACAATCTTTAGGTGCGTACATGTACAAGTTCATTTAAACACTCTTCAGGCAACTATGGAGGTGCTTAATCAACTTCTGGGGCAAAAATCATACATTTTCACACTTTTTTTCCCAAATATTCAAGTTTTACATGTACTTTCTCTTTTGCAGCACAAAAGGGTTTTAAACCACCAAAAACTTAAAGAATCAGAACTTCAGAAAGAGTCTTGCATGTTGATATTGGTTTTTGGATGCATAATGTACATAAAGGTAGAGGATGTCCGTCTGTTTCATGTACCATAGATGTCAGTCTGTTACTTACCATAGTCTTCATCCCACTGTTTTATCCAATAGAGATTTAGGGAAACCATCACCATGAATACATAGGAAGGACTTACCCCTGTGATGTCTTTAGCATACCATTACATTTTATTGACAAATATCAGAGAGTTTTGCCATTTGACACTAACCTACGGTACATTAAAGCCAGGTTGCAAAAGTGTCATTTTGTTACTGTGGCAACAAATAAATTGATATGACTCCTGGAAAGAACTCATTTTGAGAGAAAAGAATGTAAAGCTACATGTACATGTACTTAGAATAAATCAAAATGCACTTTAGTTTAGGTCCTGACCTTACTGTAGTCACTTTACAGATTGAAAACATTATGAAAACACCTTCCGATGTCAGTCTGTTACCCGTGGAATTGCCCACATGTGCATGGGACCTGTCCACAATAAGACATACATCTGTGTGACATTCAATACAAATTTCCAGAATTTTTGCCATTATTTTGCTTATATATGTCTTAACTTTTCTGATTGTTACCACAGAAAAGTAAAGATAAATTGACTAATATTTAAGAAGTTACAGAAGTTATTCTTGAAGATATAATATTTCAAGATGTACTTTGTGATGTTAAATTTAATTACGGGTTTTGCCCTTACTCTGACATATACGTAGTGCTTTTCCCACGAGCTTGGAAAACTTAACAAGCTTATTCAGGTGGGACTCGAACCCACGACCTCCTGCTTATTAGTGTAGACCACTCAACCACTGAGCTTGCCGGGGTTGGCTGGCCGGTCCAAGTCAGATATAGGCTACATGTAGCAGCAGGTACTACGAAACCATTTCTAGATGTACTTTGCGTTGGAAAGATGTTCGATTTAATTACGGGTTTTTTCCCTTACCTTGATGTACCCGCTGCTACATGTGCGTCTGACATGGACCGGCCAGCTCTTCAAGCTTGGTGGTCTGTTTACAAGACATGCAGGTAATGTGCATTGTAGTCTGCATGCCAATCTTAAAAAGTACTCATAACAAAAATGTATTACCGTATATATATATCAAATAAGCCAGGTTGTTAATTCAGTGAGGAAAGCTCATTTAGAATGAAAGCACCAGGCAACACACCCATTCAGACATGTTCAGTGAGTGGATGAGTTGGCATACAGTCAAGATGCATGTGGAACTGATCTCACATACATGTACAAACACTTGTGTACACTGATTAGTCTTAATAACCTGCTTTGTTGTGTACTGTTTGAATACCAAATTACATTTAGCAATTGGTGTAGGGGTCTATTGTGTTTTGTAAACCAGCCGAAAGGGGCAAATGGTACTTGAGGCCAAGCCGAAAGTGCCATTTACCCCCGAGGGTGTATAAAACCCATGGACCCCATTATTGCAGGCAATAATTGTTTTGTTATACCATGGTCATAGATTACTGTACGCTGCAATGGTCTTATACAAATATATATTTTATTGCAAGATGAATAAAACACTTTGACAAATTAAAAAATATGAACAGTAAATGAGACATTAAATATCAAAGAAAATTATTGGTTGTGATGTCCTTTTTTACCTATTCTTTTTTTTTTGGTGGGAGGAGAAAGATTGAAGAGAAGATGAGAAGAAACAGTGGCATGAGCATTTTATACAAACAGCAATGAAGCAGCAGATTTCCCCATGGCCTAACGTGATATGCAAGCCATAGCTACAAGTACATGTATTTGCTCCTGTAAAAGTATACCCCACCGGCAAAGAATTGACACATGTACTTTGTGAGCATGAATTATGAGATGTATTATGAGCTTGACTCAAGTAATTTTAGGGTGTATGCGGATTTGCAAATCTGTGTTTGGGAAAATGTTTGCATTTACTGTACATGAAGGTGAGGTTATATGGACATGTTTACAGAGGTATTTTATTATTAAAAATGTACTTTTCAGTCACGAAATTCATTTTTATTTCCTCTTTTTCCCAGTTGGACCTCTCCTAACTTTTCAGTACAGTGAAGGTCGACCCAGGTTGCAATATGTCTGGTAGAGAAGGTTGGTAATTCAGCATTTGATTTTTCCCTCTCTTAGTTACTCTTTAAGCAGTTGTGGATTTGAATCTATAGAATATTGAGCTTGTTAAATTATTTAAAGAATTCACATATTTTTCTAGGTACATGTTTTAAAAGTCAAGATAATTTCTTATGTCTCCAGTTCTGCAATCTTTTATTTTTAATATGGCCCAAAATAAAAACTGTCCTTTTTAAAAAATTAACCTCTCTCCTATGCAAAGTACACATGCATGTTTGAGAAAGCCATGCTCTTGTCAAAGGAAGAAGCTCTAATGACAAGAATTAAGAATCACAAGTGTAGGCACATAAATGAATGTGTTCCCTATGAAACTCAATTGATTACAGTTAACCCTCATTGTGAACTGTTTGAATTCCAGTTCAGTGTGAATGTACATGTCAATCATCTGTCCTGACTGAACTGTGCAGGCTTCCATGGGGAAATGTTTGTGTGAGATAAATTTGGTGAAACATGAAATATTATGGAAAAGCATCATTTACAACTTACGAACAAAAGGGCAGATCTAGAGGTTAGTAGGACATCTCCCCCACCCCCAAAGTTTTTAAAGAAAATGACAGGTGATTTTTTTTAATTAATTTTGATTGCCTCCCAAAAGCATGTTCATGTATGTAAAGGCCTCTGAAATTCAGCCAAACCCTTTACAAAGGCCATAGGAGCAGGTTTTGCCTTTTTTAATCGGGAAAAAAATTTGTTTAAATTGAATTGGAATTTTTTAAATTCAAGGCAAGTCGGCAAAATTACTTGTATCTTTCCCAGTGCAGACAAATTTAGCTTGATTGGTGGTAATATTCTTCTATTTTTTCTTTTATTATGAAATCAAAACAATATGATTTAAAGAGATTCCATGTGGCAATTTAAAACACCTTCAATCTTAGCAGTCCCCAATCCTCCAATTTCAATATGAAAGAGACAACACCACATTAAAAAACACACCTTGAGTGCCACCAGACTTTACAAATGAAAATAATATGGTCGGAAGCTGTCACTAGACAACACTGAATGAACAAAGGACTACACTGCCAACAGTCAACGCTAAATAAAAGAAGGACAATGCGGAATGAAGGAAGGACAATGTCATGCCAAAAAACCCAGAGGGTGCTATTTTTTATCATAATGCATTCTGGATGCAACCCATGGCATCAATGTTTTATTACCTTTGGGTAACCTTTGCATGTCCTGCAGCCTTAACCTCTTTGTAGGCTCAGCCCATATGCTAAAACTGACTTTAAGTACGCCATTGTGAATACCAGGCTTGCACATGTCCATAGGTACGCACAAAACTACATGTACTACTAGTAGTGTGTGTTTTAACTGTCTGTGCTACGAGGAACAGTACAAATTTTATGGATGTGTATGGAAGTGATCAAAAAACTTATTATAAGAACAAGCAAGACTGGAATAGATCATAAAACAGCGTTAAAACTTTCATTGACAACCCTGTCAAACTAGTGAAAGCTGCTACTCTGTTCTTAAAATGGACTAATATGGGAAGTCCTGGGATGCAGGATCATTACACAAAATTTTGGTGGATACACAGAGCAAGGATTTGATGGATTGTTGTGACTCAAAGACCACTGGAGATGGCACATCTTCGAAAATCAGATTTATTGAGCTTTTGATTCCCTTCCAGTGGAAAAAATTCATATGGGTTTAATTTTTAGTGTAACCGTGTTTTGTTTTCACTCTTTGCACGTAAGACTTTTTGAATTTTCCACTCATCTACTTGTACATGTATATTCTGTTGACAAGGCATTAATCTCCATTGTAAATGCTGTCTTTAAATTAGTACAACCATTGGGTTGCTCTTTTGTTCGTCTCTTGAGATCTAAATAAGGATTGGATCTCAATGCAAAAAGAAGTGACCTTTGATCACAGTTTTACACTGTGCAGTACTTGCATCCCTCAGGGAGCAGATGGAATGAAGGAAAATTTTAGTTTAACAATAATCATGCGGATACCTTTTTGAACTTGGGTTTGTATAAACTGGAATGCAACCCATCCAAACATTTGACCTGGAGTGAATGTCCTTCGCAGTGTTGTATCTGAGACCTTGATGTCCGAGACCAAGACCGAGACCAAGGCATACGAGACTCAGACCAAGACCTAGACCTACTCCTTCAAGACCAAGACCAGGACTTCGAGACTGAGACCATGACATCCGAGACCGATACAAACCATAAACCAATGTTTAGTTTTTACCAAAAGGTAAATAGGGACAAACATATGGTCTTACACTAAAGTACAAAAGAAATAAAATGAAAATATTAGCATAAACTCACACACAGAGATAGGTCATCATAGGTCCTTAATGTTTTGCTGATTGGAGGTTTCAAGAGCTGACGATGTCGCAACGTGTACCGTAACGAAACTACTAAAACAACACGTACCACATACAACATGGAATGAAAGCACTTTCAGACGTGCACACAGTTCATAGCGTGCACACACACACACACAGACTAGTTCTCGTCCCAGCCCTACATTCAGCAGGAGACTACGTAGGGAAGAGGAACCAGTCTAGTGTGCAAATTCAACTACTCACAATGTCATCTCCATGGTGTCAAGCAGCACGGCTACTCTGGATTGGAAATAAAGTAACAACTTGAGGCAAGGTTGCATCATGCTACATTGACTAGTCTTCATTCCAGCATCGATTTCATTGTTTATTGGAAAAATCTGAACATTACTGTGTTGTATTTATATCAGTGGTTCAAGATTTGACTCGAGCGGAGGTAATTTTGTCTTTTGCAACCACGTGCATGTGTGGTAGCTAGATGCGCATTTTGTTATGGTCTTGACTGGTCTCGAGGGAGAGACCCGAGACTGTGGCATCTGAGACCGAGACCAAGACCGAGACTGGCACTTTCGAGACTGAGACCAGCCCTCCCAAGACCGAGACTTTGACAGGGCGAGACCGAGACCGCAAAAAAAGTCCCAAAATGGTCTCAAGACCTACAACACTGGTCTTTCGTTCATTTGGTATTGACTGTTGACAGTATTGTCCTTGGTTCGTGCAGCGTTGTCAGTTGACAGTTTCCAACCGCATTATTTTCAAGTTGTATAGTCCTGTGCACGCAAGGTGTATCATTTTAATGCCGGTGTTGTTTTTTTCATTCCCTTCCTGTCCTTTTGGTTTGTCATCATTTTTCGGTTTGCCGATTTCGTTAGTTTGGCTGCTGTCTTTTTGAACATAACCATAGTGAGCCCTCTATTCCCATAATGCATTGCAGTACCATCGCCATGTTTTTCTCAGCGCCACTGCTAACGGACATCATTTTGGGCAATTTTAGTTTTTCGAGTTTCCGCTCTCGCTCCACGTTCCTGTGGTGTCTTAATCAACTGTAACAGATATGTATAAACAATAAACTGTAGTATCTGTATATTTACCTATTATTCTCAACCCTTGCTACGGAGGACTGCTACTACCGCAACATTGTGTGAGGATTAGTGCATTCCACACATACTGTCTATTCGCCATGCAGCTGCTGGTTCAATGGGGCCTGCTGCTGGACAACGCTCTCCATTCATGGCATGCCACAGCCCAGCAGTCGTCAAAATAATCGCGCTGTTAAGAGGTTAAATGTGTGTTGTTTGTTTTTGTGCGGTATTTTTCTCTCTCTCTTTGTATGTGCGTACTCGTAGGATGTAGGATGACTCGTGCCAACTAGCAATATTAGAGGGTCAAACGGGCAACCTGGGCCAGTTGGGGGCTTAATAAGTTCAACGGTCCCCAACTTTCCCCACAGCACGACAAGAGTCAGTCAGCAGTAGGATCGAGGTGCTATGTTCCAAGTCGATACTCGTGATTATCGTGCTAATGATTACCATCACAAGTTCTGGTTAGAACCGGGGTAAGCCAACAACCACACTGGGGGAATGAACTGTGGTACGTGCAGTCTGAATGCTCTGCAAACATGATCTAGAGCAGGAGCGTCTTGATGAGCCTGTCATGGACTGCGTACAAAGTGAATAGCCAAAAACCACAGCTAGACTTGGTTTGTGCAAACGCAGGACCAGACGGGGAACAAGGGCAGGAAAAGCGCTTTAAGATCAAAATGTCCGTTGTTTAAAATCTGTGTGTATGGAAATCGTGTTAAACCTGCGGCACCAACAGACCTGGAGCCTGCCAGCTCGGGCTATTAGGCACTAACATCTGCCCCCGCATCTGTGACCATTGGAACATTAAATGCTCAAACTCTCAAGAAAGACTACCGACTGTATGAGCTGACCAAACTCTGTAAAACTCTGACATAATTGGGATTCAAGAACATGACAGGGTTTTGGACAGGCCTACCATGTGCATTGACGTTTGATGTGGCTGGAAAGCATATCTTACCACTGCCCTTGCATGGACCCATGGGGGTGTGGGTCTCCTGATCTCGCCCAGAGTCAACCAAACTGTACTAAAGGTAGAATCATTACACAATTGAATAATCTCAACAACTGTTCAACTGAACAACAAGTGCTTGCACCTGATAAACTGTCATATGGCAACCACCTGTACTGCTGACATTACTGAGACCAACGATTGTATCGACATTGTTGGGGTTACCTGGCCTTGAAACCACATCGCGACATAATGGCATTTGTCTGTGATCTAAACGCTGATTTTCCACCGCATGGTTTAACTGTGAAGAATAGCTACCAGCAAGAAGTTCGTGCTCGCTCAACACCTCATGTTGAAGCCGTCTCAGACTTTGTTGTTGGCAGCAATCTATTGGCATGTTTGGTGTCATGCGACAGCACTGTTCCCAGTTGCAGACTTTTCATCCACCACGTAACCGAAGGTGTCTGCTAGACTACATTTTCATGAATAAGAAATGGACACATTTCATACTAAAGGTACGTAACATCAACTCACAATGCGTTCGCTCACATCACACACTTGTAAAGTGCACACTCGAACAGTCTTAGATTATGGGGGCCAACGAAACACACATACACACGACAGAGTGAGGAGCTTATACATCAAATAACCAGGAAGATTTCACAACACTATGAGGCGGGACGAAGCCAAGCAGTCTGGCGAGCTAGATCACTGGCAAAAAAGTGTGACCCACTGCCATCTTCACTGCTGAGTCCATGGAAGACTGGCTATCGAAATACATGTTGCTGGCTACTTTCGTGGGCTCTTGAATATCTGGTCCCTTGAACTGGATCTGTCGCTGGATGGACTGCTGCACCAGACATCAATGTCAGCGCTGTCACAAATGACAAACTCCGCAAGGCTGCCCAACAAACCCCAAGAAAATGGATACATTTCAGTATCTTACTCGAGATTCAGCCCACCCTAAGTCAGTATTTGGCAGATTAATCAAGGGAGAAGTTGTGAGATATAAACGTCAGTGTTGTAACCAAGTACTTTTTTCCGAGTACCAAGTACCGCCAAGTACTTTGACTGCCGAGTACAAAGACAGGGCGAGTACTTTGCCAGCCAAGTACAAGTACTGGTTTCCAAGTACAAGTACATGTACTTGCACTTCCGAGTACAAGTACAAATACATGTACTTCTAATTCCGAGTACGAGTACAAATACTGCTAATTCAAAGTAGTTTTATCTTAATTTAGAGACCCTAAGAACTGCCACTGTGTAAAAGAAACACCGAATGCAGGTGGCATGGAGCTACAAGAACAAGTGATCTGGCTAGCAAATGTCATGGTCACTACACGTGCGTTGCAGCAGTTGACACAACGTGCACAGCGCGGCAAAGTCTATTTTCCAGACTCAATTATTCACATGCCTGTGATTTTCTGTATGCTGGGTTCGTTGTTAGAATTTTCGGGTCCAGGAACCAGACTACCAATGCCCAGGAAATCGCGGGACCATTCTGGAGTGCCACAATATAATTAGCGTACGTGATTGGTTAAGCACCCGCACAGACGGGGAATGGGTCATATGCATTAATGGTCCCACGTTCGGCCTTCTCTTTGTCCGAACCGTATCGAATATCGGGTCATTGGAGTCGATATTTTTGTACCTTATTTTAACGGCCGTGCGTGGTAAGTTAACTTAAATGATTTTTTTATCAAGTACTGTTAATTGAGTACGAGTACTTTGATGCTCGAGTACAATTTTTGGATGTCGAGTTCGAGTATTTTGTAGCCCGAGCACAAGAGCTGTAGTTCGAGTATGAGTACTTGGACGTCCAAGTACGAGTACTCTGAAAACGGTACTCGAGTAGTAGCCGAGTACGAGTACTACAACACTGATAAACGTATCTGCACACACTCTAAAGATTTTGAAGAGAAGGTTGAATTCTTCAGGGATAAACTCATAAACCGCGGATACTCCCATGAAGATTTGACCCTCCTCTCTCAGAAAGGCGAAACTCTCAAGAAATTGAGCAGGCGGACTAAAAAAGAAGAAAACAAGACTCCGCTTGTGTTTGTCTTGCCCTACTACCCTCAAGTGCAACATTCAGCTTTAAAACAGGCCCTTCTCAAAAACTGGGAGTTAATCGACCGTAATGAATATCTTAGTGCGCTCTTCCCAACCAAACCCCTCATTGCCTTTAAAAAACATAAGAGTATAAAGGATGACCTAGTATGTCCTCACCCACGCGAAATGATGGTGACCACATGCCTCCAGAGTGACAGCGAACTTCCAGAGGTTTTTGACAACTTCCTCTCTGTCCCATACATCCCGTCACTGCCAAAGATAAGCTGGCTTCCAATGCTTACAGATCAATTGGGAAAAATCCATTCAAGGACCAAGACAAGGCTAACTTCAAGCTTAAATTCAAGCGTCGCAACACAGTCTCTGCTTTATCATTTTCCTGTAAAGACTCGTCAATCACTTCAGACCTAGTGGCCATTGCACTCTGGGCTTTCGATGAAAACATCCATGCTGTATTTGAAAAGTTCGTACAGATCTCTACAATTATTATATCTGCATGAAGATCTAATGTGCTTGACGCCTTGAATATTTCTTATAAGGGAGTTAAGTCGAAACTCCCAAGATCTCCCACTTTATGGCAAGGACCTTTTTCCTGGGAAATTCTTGGAAACTATGGAGGCTGAGGCAAAGCAAGTTGACATCACCTACAAGCTTAGCCTTCAAAACTGCCCCTTCCACCAACCATAGAGCCCAACCCACCAAACCAGCCCCATGTCATGAAAACTCTGGCTCCTTCTCCCCTCATCTTCTCAACCTGCAAAGCTTTTGCAAAAGAGCCACAATGGAAGAGCAACTTGCCCGCACTCCCCCAATCGTTTACGGGCCGGCGCCAATGAGTACACAAATTTTCCTGCGACCCTCAGTCGTGAACCCGTTGGGGGCCGCCCCCAACTTTTGCAAGGTTCTGGAGAGACATCACATCGGACAGTTAGGTGCTTTCAACCATCTCTCACATATATATATTCTTTCAAACTCACAAGCACCCCTTTGTCCGTCTGACTCTAATCCCTCCCGAAAGAAACAAGTGAGAGGCAATAGAGTCTGAGATAGATGCTCTCCTTCAGAAAGAAGCCATCCACCCTGTCCCATGTCACTCAGGAATGAGGGCTTCATCTCCATGTTTTTCCTCACCCCGAAGAAGGAACCCGGCAAGTGGAGACCCATAAGGAACCTGAAACCACTGAACAAGTCTATCCACCCCAGGAAATTCTGCATGGAGATGCTCTGGACGGTCCCCAGTCTCCTCCAATCCCGACTTGGGCATCATCTTCATATCCTGATTCACCTACAAGACTGCAAGTTTCTCTGCTTCATGTACAACAAGAGCTTATTTGAGTTCGAGGCCCTTACCTTCGGCCTCTTCATGACACCAAGGGTCTTCACACGAGCAGCTAAAATTGTCCCTGCTCATCTCTGGAAGCAGGACGTCATGTTATTCGATATCTAGATGATTTGTTCATCACCTGCACAACTCTTGACAAGGCAACGGCTTCTACTCACCTCACCTACGACCTTACAAACCACTAGGGTTCCTCATTAATCACAAAAAATTTAGGCCCACCCCTACTCAACACCAGACATATCTGAGGGAGGTCTTTGGTCAATGTCTTCATGCACCTGTTCAAATAAGGCCGACATGTAGCAACCATCTGCAACTACTGGTCTGCCATCAAAGCTCTACACAGCAGCTTTCTCAATGGCTCAATTCTATTGGATAATGACCTACTTAAACATCTTCTCCAAGGAATGTTTGTAGAGCGTGTCCCCTGACCAAACAACTGGTTCCATCGTAGGACTTATCAGCCATCCTTCAGCTCTTTGCTGGCCCTCCATTTGAACCCCTCAGTGAGGCCTCACTACTATACACTCCAGTGAAGTTGGCCTTCGTACAGCCAATTACCACTTAATAACGTTGGGGAGGCAAACTGAAATTACTATCCATCGCCAATGACCACATCAGATGGGAACCCACGGCATATGCCTCATTCCAACCCTGGGTCTCCTTGTCCAGAACCAGTCGACTTCCATCCTCTATCATGTATCCACTTCTAAAAACACCCTTCTCTCCCTCATATAATGCGTCCTTGCCCAGCCCCCCCCTTCCTGCATATTATAGTGACTGTTTGGGGTGGGATGAAAGCAGTGGACTCCTCTCCCATAGTAATGGGGGAGGGTCTGCTAGTGAATACCTTCCCAAACAGTCGGCGTCCGCCTGTCCTTCCCGCTTTTGGTCTGATGGTATCATACTGAAAAAGGACGAACATTGCGACAGCGTTACAATGCATCATGGGAATAGAGGGTGCACTACAGTTGATCAAGGTTTTAGGGAATAAAATAAGGCGCAGAGAAAATTTGCATATTATAGCAACTGTTTGGGATAGGTATTCACTAAAAGACCCTCCCACACTAAGGGGGGGGGAGAATTTGCCATTGTCTTTTTTGCCCTATTGGCTGCCCATAGTATTAAACCTACTTGTACTTGAACATGTACATGTAAAATAGACAGTCCCATACAAGTACTGTACATGTACAGGTACAAAGGGCAAAGTACCATATTATAAACCACTCAGCATGGTGCGAAATTGTAAGTGGGTAATTTTGTAATTTAGGGGTCCAATTTTTTGTGTGTCCCTGTCACATCTGACCTGCATGTACATGTATGATTTTGTAAAGTTCAGAATACATTCTCTAATTTCCGAGAGTGATGAATTAGGCCTAATCCAAATTACATGTACCTACCTGTTTGGCCCCGAATTTATAGAATGACCCAGGAGCCAATTGTGCTCACTGAATGGAAGAGCAAGTGCTTAGCTTACCACAAAATTTGGAATCAATGAGTATTCTGACAAGGTCCTATGGATTTCATAATGAGAAGAGTTGACAATACCACCATACCGGTATGCCATGTGTACATGACTAATAGGCAATCTTGATTACAGTGTGGGACATGAACATTATCAAGGCAAATGTGAGCAGATAACAAGGAATACATAAATGTCATGCCTACATGGTACAAATGTGTGAGGAATGCTCATAATTTAGTGTATTTTGTTTTACAGGGGGAAAGAAGAAACCTTTAAAACAAGCCAAGAAAGAGAAGAAAGAACTTGATGAAGTAAGGAACACTTTATCTCAGTTTTTATGCCCGACCACAAAGTTCAAGGGGTACACTTTCTGCCTTGTCCTTTCATGGATGTACACGTACAGCTTTAAAATTACATACTCAGTGTGGACCCATGAACACGATGCAGGTTGTGAGAACCTCGTGTTCATATTAAGCCAGATCCACACAAGGTTAACTTTTTCTCGAAAACATGTTAAGAGGCACTTAGAGGTAAGGGTTATTTGTTGCAAAAATAAATCAAGGAAATCATCAAAGAAGTAGCTCAAAATTGTGTTAGCAGTTTTGAAAAAGTCCTCAAATCATACTGGTACTTAATGTGCCTGTCTCAGGCCGAATACAAGTACATTGGTAATTAGTCTGAGTCCAAAGCACTAAGTATGAGTACATTCATGGCCGAGTACTGAGCCAAGTCTGAGAACCAAAATCAGAGTCTGAATCTGAGTACATGTATAATACTAGGCTTACGCAATACTCTTTGTTCTGAGTGGAATAGTGGTAAAAAAAAACCCAGAATTGATGGCTCCGCTTTTGTGAGGAACTGGGTAACCACCATCGGCAGTTCCACATTCAAAGAGCCAACTCCAAACATCAAATCTGAGTCCAAGTCACTGCTCAAGCGGGCATACCGCACGTGCCTGCGAGTGAGAACTCCAAACATCAAATCCAAGTCCCGCTCTGGCCTATGGGCCTACCTACCGCGCCCGTGTGTATGTACTGTACATGTACGTATACAAACTCACGTGAATAAAGCACGCTGTACATTTAGCAGGGCACCTTTCCACACAAGGGAAAGTGTGTACACAAATAAACTGTAAAATACCCTTATGTCTGGGTACCAAACCGCATCGAAGTTGAACTTTGGCTGTTTTCCAATACTCAACTTTGTTGCCATCTCAGGCTTCGTCCCCAAAACCAATCCCCAATTGTGAGCCTGAAGCGTTTAAATCAGTGGGTTACTGTAATTTTGGGCTCTCTTGCATCTTATTTGATGTTTTGTGGTACTATTAGACTATTTATTGAGCTTACAGCTACATGTAAGTCTTCAAAGTAGTTAAAAAAAACAGTTGAAGCCTGAGACAGAGCCGAAGTTGAGTATTGGAAAACTGCCAAATTTCATGGCCAGAAGCTCTAAGACTGTTTCATTTATGGCTGTGACTTCAACATTTGTAAATTTTGCCTGGTACTTGTGGGTGACGTGTCTGTACTTTTCACACATATGACTCCAGGCAAAATCATTGAGCGGTTGAGAAATAGCCTAGCTGTTGTCTAAGCTTGTATGAATGATGCATCAGAGTCCTACGCACTTCGGCCTACACAGAATAATTGGGGGTGCTGTTCATGTCATATTCCCGGTTCACAACTTCTTACTTGATACATGTAGGTGATAATGCAGAGCAGGCTCCATATGTGGACCCGGGCATTGGTTCAGCTAACAAGATAGCAAACGTATTAGTTACATGCCCCCACGACTGACCAGTTTATACATGGTCTTGGCCATTTACGATACTTTGGCATATGTTCAATAAGTACACATGATCCGGTCCATACATTAATAAGTGCCTTGGCATGGTCGACAATTCCATTTATGTTTGGGTAAAGTTGCATATACATGTACTGAGACAACCGCAAATCAGTTGTTCTTATTGGATTATTCCATACTTCCCTCTGGAAGGTGATACAGAATTTCATGAATATACATTGCGCATGCTATGCTATGTTCGTTGCCCGAGCTGGTAAAATATCTCTCGCAAGATTGTGCTGAAAATCTTGAATTTAGCAAAACTCCTTTGGAGTTGAACGTGAATCTTTGAAAGGTTATGCCAAAAACTCAGAAGGCAAAAATGGCAGTCGATGATGACGCTGTCACGTCGAAAAAAAGGGGACATTTTCTCGCCAAGAAAGCCCAATGCAGAAAAATCTGAAATTAAAAGTCATGCCGAGAGTGCAGCTCGGTGTGATGCGAGCACCAGTCCTACGTGTCTTGGCATGTATGACTGGAACCAGCAAAACAGAAACGTGACATGTTAACTTCTCGTACCAACTCAAGCTCGAAAAGTATGCGGGCTTGAAAAGGGCGAAAGTGTTCTAACTACAATGATGCACAAGCTAAAATGCTGACAGCAGAGGGACAATAACTCAAAAAAACAGAGGGAAAATCCTGGTCCTTGTGGTCTCATGGATTGGTATGATGCAGAACACTATGAGTACGCTTATGAGAGGAATATGTTCCTTGCACAGTGGAAAGATGTGCTCCTTCCATGACAGAACAAGATGGCAGTGCCTATTTCGGTAACAGCGACAATGAAGCTGATTGACTTTGCACCAAAAAAAGAGGAAATCAGTTGCAGAAGCGCTATCTGAAACTGACGATGTCGGTGCTGAAAGTGCAAAAGAAGGGAAGACGTTGCAGCTGCCGGGCAAGTTTCATAAGGATCAAGAAAAGATCACTGATCCAGTTGAACCAAGTTTAGCCACTATATGTTTACATCTGGCATGGATTATGACCCGTTCAGAGCAATGACTGCTGAAGTCAGGTGACCCGAAAATTGCAAGGAACTACAGCAAGTGCAAGTTAATGAACCCGTTTGGGACTTGTTGTTTAACCAAACAAAAAACTTCGACAAACGAATGCAAGTGGTACAAATTGCTATGGCCAAATCTGCCTTATGCATCGTCCAGATGGTAGACATCTTGGGCATGTTGGGCAAACAGGCTTTGATCAATGACTCATATTAGGCCATGGTTTAAGTAAGATTTGAAGCTTTGCATGGTGGAACATACATGAGAAATGGGTTTGCGGGTACACCATGGAATCAATCTCGTTTGGGCGAGGTGTGGTTCTTAGAAGAACCGGTGAGTGTTAACTCGACGTTTCGGCCAGTGTGCTCTGGACGTCCTCTGGAGAGTGTGGCGGACTGGAGTGAATAGCTGGTTATAAAGGAAATGCGGAAGCAGTTGAGCTTCTGCCCTCAAGATGAACAGCTACTGCAACCAACGTATCAACCTTTTCAAGCCATCCCATAGGATGTTAGGATCTCCTGTACCCGAAGTCCACCCGTCGCCCACGGCGTTAGGGTCACCTATACCCGAAGTATGTCTACCGTACCTGGGCCCCACCTCCCACCAACTCCGGAGCATCCTGCAGTCGGCCAACATCAAAGTACATCATTCAGCACCCAACAAGCTGAAGGCTGCACTTCATACCCACAAGGACAATCACCCACCTAGCAGTCGCCCCGGTGTATATCACATTCCATGTGAATGTGGCCAAGTATACATCGGGGAAACCGGCAGGAACCACCCCACCAGACTCCAAGAACACCGCTCGCACAGCTGACGAGGAGAATACGACAAGTCGACCATCATCAAACATGTACACTCCACGGACCACCCCATCCAATGGGACAAAGCTGAACTCATCACCCCCATCCAGTACTGGCTCCCAAGGAGAATCCGAGAAGCCATCGAGATTTCCCGGCACAACACCGTACCCCAGACATCGGTTTCAAGCTCAGCGACATCTGGCACCCACTACTAGCACCCAAGGAGACACCCACTCCCGGGCAGTAGGGTCTTCTCTACCCGAAGCGACCCCCATTCCCCCCCCCCCTTGGCATAAGGGTCCCTTATACCTGAACTCAAGGTTCCCGCCAGTTCAACACCTTCCAGAGCACACTGGCCAAAACGTCGAGTTAACACTTTCCGGCTCTTCTAAGAACCACACCTCGCCCAAAAGAGATTGATTCCATGGTATACCTGCAAACCCATTTCTCAGGCCATGGTTTCCACAATCTGTGCCTAGAGGTGAACTGCACAAGCCCAATGTGGCATGGAAATATGGCCATCTCTATTCAGCCAATGTTGCTCACAACCAATTCCTTTGTGGCGGCAATGTTTAAAGGCTTATCAAGGACATGGGAAATGTAAATCACAGGTGTCGAGTAAGCTGAAGCCTAGCACAAGACCACGATCCACTCCACCCTTTACACAAGGCAGGGCAAGAAGTGGCTCGGATCATTATTGTCCACATGGACCTTGGTACTCGCATCCACATGCCAGGGGTTATCGATATGCACCTGTGACTTTGCAGCCACAATCGTATTCCATGTCAAGTTACAGATGAGCGCCTGCATATACATCCACACCTATAGGCCAAGGCAAGCCCTAATCAGGACAATCTTCAAGCTCAACTGTCACCAAAGGTGAGATATGTGACAGACCTACACTTAAATTTGTGGCAAGAAACCTGAAACAATTCATCCAAAATTGGAAGGAAATAACATCAGATGAGGACATTTTGCAAACAGTTGCAGGCTGCACCATTCCTTTCAGAAATGATACTGTCCCAGTACAAACAGGAAATGTGTGGAAATCCAGATTTAAAAATCACTGCAAGTAATAATCAGAGAAGAGACAAGTTAATGGAGAAGCAGGTGCTTGAATTGGCAAGCTCAGAGCAAGGAAAGTTTATATCGCCTATCTTTCTTGTTCCAAAAAAGAATGGAACATTTCATTTAATACTTAATTTGAAAGAAAATCAGAATTTTCTGTACTGTCATTTCAAAATGGAAACTCTGACAGCAGCATTGAATCTGATAACACCAGGATGCCTGATGGCATCAATCTCAAAGATGATTCCTATGGTGTCCCCATTCATGAGAGCTTCCAAAAATATCTCAGGTTCATTTACCAGTTAACCTGTTTGCCTAATGGCTTGACATGAGCCCCTGGAAAATATAGCAAATTGATGAAGCCAGTACATGCTACATTGCGTAAGATGGGGTAAAATATAACTGGATTTTTGGATGATATGTTGATTGTTGCAGACACTGATACAGCTTTGCTTGATTCTGTGCTACAGGTTTTAACAATTTTGCAAACTTGGGCTTTACAATCAATTTTGAAATATCAGTACTTGAACCCACAACCAAGATTACCTACTTGGGATTTGAAATAGATTCTGAATCTACGATGGTTACCTTACCTGAAGACAAAAAAGACAAAATTGTTTCGCAAGCTAAGAATCTGGTGCTGGTATCTGAGGACTCTATACATAATGTGGCTAAAGTCATTGGTAGTGCAGTAGCCAGTTTTCTAGCTGTACATCTGGGCCCTCTACATTATCAAAATCTCGGAAAAGAAAAAGATACTGCCATCAGACAGAAAAAAGGAAATTTTGAGGCTTCCGTGGCTGTTACAGCCACATTGAAACAAGAATTGCAATAGTGGATAGATATTCACAAATCAAGGCTATAATCACCAAAAACCCAGAAGTAAGCATTACGTGTGATGCTTCATTAAAAGGTTGAGGCGGCAAATGCCTCAATAAATCGACCGGTGGTTGACAGAATAAGGAAGAAAAGGAATGTCATATTACTCATTTTGAATTTGTGGCATCCTTTTATGCTTTACAGTCTTTCCAAGTTAAACGTATTGAGAAAGGTGCAGCTAATACAACAGCTGTTGCTTACGTTAACCATATGGGAGGAAAGCAGTCTTGCGTCATTAATATAACCAAAACTTTGTGGTCTTGGTGTCTGACCAACAGTATCTGGTTATCTGCATCACACATCCCTGGGGTAAATAATGTAGTAGTTGATTTTGAAAGTAGGCATAAACTGGCATTTTAATGATACATGTATATGCAGATAATCAGGTTTTTCATGACCTCACTCAGAATTTTGGTCCATTACCTCTTTGCTTCTAGTTTGAATGCAGAGTGCCAGTGGTATGTTGCTTGGTGAAGGGACCCCCAAGCTGAATTTATTGACACTTTCTCGCATTCATGGTCAGAATTTCATGCATATACGGTATTCCCCCCTGTAACACAGGCTTTTCTTTAGGTATATTCAGGCAGTGCATTTTACTCTGGCCCACCGGTGATATTTGTATGTAGGGCAGTAGATACAGTGTTGTACCTGGTTACATGTACATATAATTACTGTATAATGTGATAGGGCTCAGATAACAAAGATTTGGGGACTATACTTATGCGTGTATTGTTGGAGGGTAATCTCATGTTGGAGAAAGTTACTGCAGTACAAAGTTTTGAAGAAGGATGAATGGATATTAGAGAACCCTGTTTTGGCATATTTCTGCTAGTTCTGCTAGTACATTGTGTTTGTCGGCCTGTGCTCAGCAAAGTCATAAGTTTTGGCTTCATACATGTACTTTTAATGAAAACATTCAGCCCTCGGTTTCGTATCTATTGCAAACTACATTTACTTAGGTCAATATGTCGTCCAATAATATTATGTAACTACATGTTTTTAATGTACCCGTATTGTGATTTATCTTATTAGAGCCTGATTAATTACCATCCTGTCATGTGACGTGTAATTTTCACAACCTGATACCACATGTTTTGCTTTGATTTGGTTAATTCCAGATTAAACCTAGTTCCTTTCCACAAGGTGACAGTGTGGGAAGTGTCAATGACTCAGTCTCAGTGAAAGCGTAGGTTGATTCTGGCAGATGGGACAGCAGAAAGCATTAAACCCCCCCTTTCGGCTTGATTGGCAGATGCCTACAAAAGTTAGTGCAACCAAGGGTCAGCGTGTATGGTAGTACCACTGTGGCCAACCCAGCAGTGGTTTGTCCCCTTCCTAGAACTGCTAGACAAGGAGCCTGTGCAGCTACCACAAGCCAATCTCCTAACCGTGCGATTCAGTCAGAAGCTTCATCCACTATGAGAAACATTGATACTGATAGCACGACTTGTATCGGGAAAACACCCGGACAATCTTAGATTTCAGAGAGGACTTCAGAAATCATGCTCAGTGCCTGGAAATTAGGGACTCATAAATAGTACAGTGTTTACATCCACAAATGGAACAACCTTTGCACTGAAAGGCAGATTGATTGTGTTAAGCCATATGTAACTGAAGTGTTAGATTTTCTTACTCATCCTTTTGACAAGGGTATTCAGCCTTGAACACTACCAGGAGTGCTTTATATCAGATTATTGTCTGGAAAGGACATTGCATTGGTGATAAGATTCTTGAGGGCAGCGTATAACCTCAGACCCCCCTACACCAAGATACATGGGATACAGCTTATTTGCTTCACAAATTGCTGGCATGTCCCCTTGAGGTATTTATCTCTTAAAGATTTGACCCTGAAGATGGCCATGCTTGTAGCCATACTGTTTGCAGCTTGAGCTTAAACATTGAGTCTAAATTAAATTTGAACAACACAGCAAAGTGTCAGATCAGCTTCATTCTCAAAGGCACTAAAAGCAGGAGCCTCTTTGGATGATATCCTCAGTACAGCAGGTTGGAGTGGTGCCTAAGGCAAAGGACTGGGGGAGTATAGCCCCATCTGCTTTGTTTATAAAATCAGCTGTGCAGACAGTGAATGAATATGCTGATTTGCTCCGAGTTATGAGTTATGACTTACAGCAAATCAGCATATTCATTCACTGTCTGCACAGCTGATTTTATAAACAAAGCAGACAGGGCTATACTCCCCCAGTCCTTTGCCTTAGGCCATATCCAGTCGATATCTCACCAGGACAAAGCTTCTTCGCCAAGGAGAAACAAGGCTTTTTATCAGCAACGTGTCACCACACAAAGCTGTGACATCTTCAATAATTGCTCACTGGGTGAAGTCTATGTTGAGTAAGGCTGGTATTGACACATTGAAGTACACAGCAAAGTGTCAGATCAGCTTCGTCCTCAAAGGCACTAAAAGCAGGAGCCTCTTTGGATGATATCCTCAGTACAGCAGGTTGGAGTGGTGCATACTATAACAAGAAAATTGCCTCAAAAAGTGACATGGCCACAAAGATCCTTAGCTCTTAAATGAGGTAGAAATACAGCATGAATGGCCTAAGACTCTTACTGTTACTTCATTACAGTAAAAGACTTTGTAGTCACCTACAATTCATTACCAATGCCCATTGCCCATGGTTTGGTTTCGTCTACTGAATTCAAGAAGTTGATGATTTCATGTTCTTGGATTTGACATTAGCACAGTGAACAGTCCTTGGATACACAACATCTCCTTGGAGCTGGATTTTTTATATTCCTGAACTGTTCCTCTTTATTTTGCAACAAATAACTTTGACCCCAAAGTGTCTCTAAAGTGGTACATGTATATATTTCAAAGATTGGAAAAGACTTTGTGGACATTTATGGTTCCACACTCTCTTCTGAACCTACATTTTATAGATTTTTGTATGGAGGTTTGCACTAAGTACACTCACGGTATGCCTTTTCAACTTCATCAGTGGAACATAAACAATTTCCTTAGAAGTTTTAATGCAAAGTAGATTTATGCAGGTTCAATTTTGTGGTTTATGATCAACATTACCAGTAGGCCATCATAGGATAAAGAATGTTCTGAAAATTTTCTATGCAGATGTACATGTACCAGTCATGGCTTTAGTCCAGCAGTTACATGTACCTTAATGAAACTTAATGAACTGAAACTTGTGTGATAAATTCAGAGGTACTTGTTTAAGAAATTCAAGTCTGATCTGTCACCTTTTCGGCCTGATGATTTGATCATAGCAGAACGTTTTTGAGAAAGATTCCATTTGGACCAAAATGGCAGGGAAGATCTGTCTGTCTATAGCATGGTCAATTAGTCTCGCTGCTTGGCTGGCTGTAATATAATGTGAAAAACAGAAGTGCAAAATAATATTTGTTGCAGATCACAAAAACAGCTGCAAATCTTTGAGAAAGATTCTGCTGGAATCAGATGTCAGGCCCTCAGACTTGTTAAAATGTAACATATATTGTACATGCACATATAAACTGACAGTTGAAGGCTTATTTATTGCAATATTGATAAAAAAATTGTCATGCTGTACGTAGATTAAAACAAAAGGCAATATTGTCTTTAAACAGGAGGACTTGGTTTGGAAGCAAAAGCAGAAGGAAGAAAAGAAAAAGCTAGATGAAGCAAAAGTGAAAGCAGCTCAGAAAGGACCACTGAGTAAGTAATCCTGTTTTAATTTGATACACAGGTGAAAACTTCAGGCAAATCATAACACTTCTTGACATTTTTCCATGGGTGTTGCCCAAGATTTTTACCAAGTGTGTGTGGGAAGGGGGCAAAGCATTTACTGGCAACAAACTGGTGACTTCCATCTGCTTGATTCTCTTTCTTTTATCATTTCTTTTACTTTTGTTCCTTGTTGGTTTCCTTTTACTTGTCAACTTTTCCTGGGGTGACATGAAGGCATTAGACCCCATCCCTGGCTACCCTTGCAAACAGTCATGTCCAGACCCATCAAGCTCTGGTTGGCTTAAATTCACATCACATATATCAAAAAGTATGTAAACTGTATCACATAAAATTTATGCATTTGTAGAAATATGAATTGTAATAATTTAAGATTGCAATGTGGAAGAGGAGCATAACCTTGAAGTACTTCAGCAGAATTTTACTTTGACTAACCAGTATACTTTGTGGAGTCTGTGATCCAAGGCTTGCTTCTACTGTTGAGACACAACTTGATCTGTTTCTTGTGTTTTGTTTTGGCTGGCTGGCTTACTGTTCACCTTCATCATGTTTATTATCTTTGGTGTCTCAAGTAAAGTTGATACAAATGCAGCTGTTTACTTTATTCTTTTGCTTTTACAGGTCAAGGTGGCATTAAGAAATCAAGGAAGAAATAACAACAGGTGTGCCCTTGCTTCAAGATGAGAAAAAGATTCATCCCAAGGAATTGAAAGCAAATGAACTTTAAGATTCATTTTAAGAAGCAATCCTGTGTATACCTGCATTCTTGAAGTAGTATGAACTCAATAAAATTTGACAAGATTATTGGGAGAGCATTAATAAGTATTATCAATGGTTTAACCACTCAGCTCATTTACATTTATATGAAGAAAACTGGTTGAGAAAAGCCTAATCACGATTATGAATTGCGTATGTTGGGAACAAATAAAAACATTTGTGTATAAAAGCAGCAACATTGTGACCAATACTTGTCATAAAGATCATAAAGCACAGCAAATTTACATCATTGACCGTTGTGTGTTACGATTAAAGGTGTACGTACACATATACAAATCCCACTTTTCACATTTTCTGCAAATATGTGTCAACTACAGCCATGTTCCCATTGGATTTTTTCGTAAAATTACTGTGGCTGTGTGGTAGAATTACAACATTAAATCCAATGGGAACACACGGTAGATTGACATTCCTGTTAAGTTACCGCGGTTGTGGTGTAAAACTAACAGGCTGAAGGATGTCGTGGAAGATTTCCGCGCAGGCACGGTAAGTTAACAGGGATGCAAAAAAGTTCAATGGGAACAGTTCCCACCACATAGATTTACTGCGGCCGCACGGTAACTGCTGAACAAGCAGGACACCTTTCCTGTGTTATGTCATCACTGCACAGCGATCGATCCAGGGCATGGGAAATGGTGGTATGGTTCCTTGTCCCCAGCTTTGCTCACGTTGTGTATGTATGTACGTGTACATACATACACAACAGGCCACGTCGTCTCATGTCAAAACGCCTTTTTTTCGCTTTCCTCCACGTCCACTTTTTTTTCCTGTGGCTATATCAGCAATGTCAGAAGCTTGAGCTCCACTCTTTCTGGCAGGTTTCAAATTGTTTTTAGACGTCTTCGAACTTGGCGGGCATGATGACAACGAGGCACTCACCTCCGTTGTGGATGTTGATGCCATTTTTTTTAACATGTGCCGCGTCCAGTCCATGGGCATGTATAAAAAACCTGGACTTGCAACGCCTTTGCATGAAAAAGAAGCCAACCAGCAGCCATTTTACCAAGCCGAATACAAAAGCAAGGTTTGGCTCCCTTTTATTGACGTCAGGAAGAACAAAGGCTGGCATTGCCAGGAAAGCTTTGTATTTGGCTTGGTAAAATGGCCTTGAGTGGATTCAATGACTCTATAAGCTGATTAAGGGTATTGCAAATCCAGATTTTATTGTACATGTCCGTAGTCCAGTCATGATCACGTTGTGCCAAACAAAGCGCAAAGCAGGGCTACTGTCTATTCTCGCCGGAAAAATGACGTCGTCGCTTTGTGTACATGACCACCTAGGTCAAAGGTGATTTGCACAGCGCCCGCAGTGGCAACATTTTGCCAATTTCCTTCGGCGAAATAAACTTTCCATTGCTGTCAAAAAAGGCCAAGTGGGAATGTGCAGAAGATTGACATGAAGGAATGTCGCGGTAAGTTTCCGTGTGGCCGCAGAAGAAAAAGTCTAATGGGAACACGGCTTAAGCTAGATTGAGCCGACAAGGGTCAGGAATGATGAAATGTATCCTGAAAAGTGTATGTTTAATCGAAAAAAATGTTACTTGAGAAAAAGTTGAAATTTTTGCATCTTTCAACACAGCAGAAATGTTGTTGGAACACATCTGCTGAATTTCATTTGTGTCTCTTTATGTACTTGCATCATATAGACAGTTGAGAGCATGCAGGCATACATGTACATGCGTACCTATATGTAAAAATGTCTGTTACGGCAAAATTCTCCAATTACCTTTCATTTGGAGTATTAAAAAGAGATTCATATTTAAAAATGCCCAAAAATTAAACACCACTATAAAAGTTCAAATGTCTATGTGTCTTCCAGTATGTGACATTTCAAACATAAAGATTTATCTAAAGGTACATGTATGTTTCATTGACAAAAATATGTGGATAATACATGATACTTGCACATACATTTAGGTACTATTGAGGCAAGGAGCAAGGAAAAAGGCAAAGTTCAAGTCGAGAGATGTTTTATGAAGACTTTATTGAGTATGAACAACGTTCGCTCCTAGTCTCTACCGTACCTTCTCCTTAACCATTTTTAAAGCCTCCCCCAGCCCTGGGCATGTAAAACCTGGTTTCCATATTGACGTAAGAAACGCAGAGAGCAACGCAAACTGCAACGCAGACATATGGAAACATGTCATTAAACGCAAGTATCACCGATAACCCAGACATAACACAAACCAACCCCAGACAGATCGGGAAAGTTGAGCCAGGTTCAACTTTACCGACTGTCTGCGTTTAGTCACTGTGTAGGCCTCTACAAACACGTACAATGGCAAGACAGGCGAACGATATTTCTCTCACTCAGTACCATTCACTTTGTCCATTTTTTCCTTACTACCAGTGTATGCAGTCCCAATCGTCAACAAAATAGCTGACCATTAACAAAATACAAACTGAAGTATCAGTTTGGCTTCAAGAGGAATCATTGCCACCTAAAGAAGGCATTTTAAGCGAAAATTTTCTGAGTTTCAGGCACCATTTTGTTTAATTTTTGGGTGGAATGACGTCGCGTCACGTATCTTCCGCGAATGTCTGCGTCTTGACGTCATGCAGACCGTCTGCGTTACTAACGAACATATGTATGGAAACCGGGCTTCACTGTGAGACATTTCATTTTGCCGACGTGCACAGGTACTGCATGCACGAGACCGAAGAGCTTCAGGAAGTTTAAAAGCGGCCGTTGTTGCTCCTTAAGTCCGGTCTCCATATGGTCGTTTGTCACGCAGACGGTCTGCAAGACATAAAGGTGTTGATGGTGTGTTGACGGTCCGTTGCGTGTTGACGGTCCGTTGCGTGTTGACGGTATGTTGACGGTAATTACTATGACCGGATATAGTAACGTCAACACACCATCAACACACTGTTGACTCCTCGAAAATACAAGTTTAATTGACAAAACAGGCATAGAAAAGGAATTCTTGGACAGAAAGAGACTTTTCAGTTGTTGGAGGTCACAAATCAATTTCCAAAATGGATTTTTTTCACACGAAAAAATGATCTCCAGCAGTGTAGCGGTTCCTTGCCTCCTCATGGAGCTTGGATTGTACCATTTAGGTGCGGGTATGGAAGTAATTGACATGCGTTTAATATGTTCATGTAACATAGGCAGTGCACAGTGTGTAGGGCATTATACTCAAGACTTGGCAAATTTCCAGGCACTACACATTGTATGGAACACCAAGAGAACAATGTTTTAAATCTCTAATTTGTGCTCTTTCCGTAGTAACAATGTTCATTTGTACTCTATATGCCTGATTTCGTTGAAACCTTGTAGATAGCCAGAAAGAGAAGGTTTGTAAAGCGAGATTTACCTCATATAATGATGTCATAATTATGAGGAGTTACGCGACATTAAAGGTGCATCCTATAAACTACCATATCTCCTGGAGTACATGTCCGATTGGGGTTAATACTTGGCAGATATTTAGAGAGGGAAGTGTTTTAGACGAACATTGATCTTAAGTGATGATGATGTCAACATGTGACAAGTCACGTGATATTAAAGGTGCACTCCCCAAAGCACTATATCCTGTAAAGTATATGTCTGACTGAATTCAAACCGATTGGGTTGAACCTTGGTAGGTAGCGAGAAATGGAAGTGTTTCAGACGAAGTGAAGTGATGTTAAAGGTGCATACTTTATTCTCCATATCTTCTAATGTCCGAAAGGGTTTGCACATTTCATCAATGTTATGACGCCACCAAAGAAAGTACTTGATATACTTTTGTAAATATTTGTAGTTCTGGGGTAGATCTTTGAGCAAAGAGTGAGAAATAGAAATGTGCTAGTATCTCAAATAAACAAATGTTTTTCTTAACCCTAACAGTCCCAAATCCTCCAATTTCAATACGATTTTACATACACCCTAGGGGGTTAGGGTTAATAAAAAAGAAAATGTGAAAAAGCCCTTTGCTCTGTCCTGAAGACAGACAAAATCTCTAGTTATTACGTATTGAGCACTGTTGTATCCATGTACCTAATGGTACAGGATTCATTATGTGCATGCCTCCAGAACAGCTCTCGGAACAAACATGAATATTAATGACGCCGATCCAATAGAATGGTCACAGTTAGGTGGAACCTGTTGTGTAGTGTTTTTCATTGGGTGACAATAACATTCTAACAGTTTTACGAAGGAACACTTGTAGAACGCTGTCAAAATGACTCAATCTTCACGACTAGTAGACCAGGGCATGATCACATGACCATATGCCATTGCAGGATTAATGGTGAAATTTTTTTCCTTTTAATCAAAGCAGAACTCCAAGCACGGAGGATAAGGGGAGTTCGAACTCTCCTTGCTTTGTCCATGATCACTCATTCCCTACAGACTTACATGTATGCAAACCCACGTAAATGACTTGTGATAATGATCTCAACTGCTCAAATAGTGAAGTACAGTCCAAAGTAAACACCATGCTGTCTAATCATTTCCTCTTCAAAGCTCGTTTCCCTTCTCCTTTTTTTGGTGGTGCTTTTCCTTTAAGACGAGCAACCCTCTTCATTTCAGCACGGAAATCAGCATGTTCGTCCCTGTGAAAGACATAAAAAGAAATGAGGAAACTGTTACATCAATTATCTATGTTTCCTAACTGCATTTTCCATTATGGAAGCAGACGACTGTTTAAAGAAGATGGCCGTTGCTTGCTAAGAATCATTAGGGCTTAAGTTTTTCCATAAGCAAAATTTTCAAAAGTTTCCACAAGCACAAAAACATCTTTATTTTGACAGTTTAAACAAAACTGTTGCATCTACACATTTCCCTGCAGCTCTCTAATGGAAACAAATGCTTGTACATTCAAAATTCAGTTCCAGTACTGGGCAGCTTCTCAAAAATAAACGTATATGTGTACTGCTTTTGGAGCATGTTTAATTTATGTAACGAGTTTTGCCCTTACCCATCGTATACATGTTCAGTGCTTGTCCAGAGCTTGTGTAAAAATCACAAGCTTACTCAGGTGGGACTCGAACCCACAACCTCCTGCTTACTAGTGTAGATGTCTTAACTGCTTGACCACTTTTACGGCAAAACCTGTTATATAAATTAACATCTCCCAACGCAAAACATCTTGAAAATGGAGTATGTTTATCGCATACGGTCCTTTACATGAATCAGTCACAACACTGGTGTCATGCTATGATTTCATTAATCCGCAAAACCAGCCCTTCAAAACACTTCCACCTGGGATATTATATTTATTGCAAAATTATCTCAAAAAAGCCTGTTATTTTGGCCCATCTCACAGCCAGAGTGGGGGGAGGGAATCCACTCTCCCCCATGACCCAGCTGTTCTATGCTCGATGTTAAAAACTTGGCATGCTTACATGTATGGGACAAATGTGACACACACACACATGTACTGGCCAATCTGCATTAATTAGCACAGCAGTGGATAAAGTATTAGGGCTGACCTACACGCATCTCAGATAAATGCCAGCTTTTTCACAAAATTGGTGTCAAAATGACTGCTAAGGTTTAATGAAAAAAACTAAATGCTCGGCTTGTGAAAAAAAATTCACTACAATCCCTCCCTCGGCCCTTTCAGGAATAAGACAGTTTAAGAGTAGCATTTCAGCTGAAGTCTGGGTGTAAATGACAACAATCTACATTAGTGCCACTGCTTCAGCTTCTGTATCAGCTACCACATGTACTAAGGCTGTGCAACAGAACCAAGTGCTTGAGTACCAACCACTCACATGAATGCCAAGAACCAGTTTTCAACTTCATTGGTGTGTGGCTGGGTACCCCAATGTCGCCATCGCATACTACTTTTGAAGCAATGAGAACATAAATGTTGTAGACGAATTTGCAGGGATTTTTTCCAGAATAAACCAGGCCATATGGAATGCTGAAATTGTACATTGCTTATTTCAATTAATAATATGAATCCGAGTAGTAAGCTGTAATCAGAATCTTGACGTACATTTACGGCTCACTGGTAACCTATTATGTAATTTATATGGACTGGTATGAATACCTGTAAAGACCCAGAAACTGGAGCCTTCTCATCATCTTGTAGACTTCAGTGTGGGGTGGATAGTATTCTGTGACCTCTGGCTTATGTTCTCGTGGTTTCTCATTCATTAGCTGTACAACTTTCATGGACTGAGAGGATGTTGGACGGAAGACATTGCCAAAAATACGGGCACTCAAGCGTGCCATGCGCCTTGCATAGAGAGATGACATCCTGTAGTTCTGCAGTTGGAATTAAATTTATACTAAATGAAACAAAAGTTAAATGACCACAGGTAAATTACTCAAACCATTCACCAAGAATGTACATGAAAGTATCAACGGTGCAGTAGGAAGGAGTGGTTTCAGGGGTTACATGTAAAATGCTATCTCATAAAAACAAAAAAATATGAAACAAAAAACAACACAATTGGGATGAGAATGCAAATCATGGAAAAGGAAACCAACTTGGTTTAGGAACCCATAAAACTAACTCTAGACAGGCTAAATTTAGTCGGAATAGGAATTTACATGTATTGAGAAAACCAGTAAAACATACTGTACATGTAAGTATTTGTTTATAAATGTGCATGTTTATAAAACAGACTCAAGTCTGAGTTAAGTTGCCTTTTCATACACACGTCAACACTTGCACCAAGCATTGCGTATCCGTCAAAATCACTCCCAGGGCAATTTTGATGGCCAAACACAATGCAGATGTGTGTTTTGTTAATGGAGTTGAGTTTTGTGTCCACAAAAGTGAAATGCATGAACGCTTGCATCACTAAACACCACTATCTTCAATATGGGGCATCAAAACTCAGTTGTAAGACTTTGGATAAACCAGTGAATGAAGTTGTCCTGTCTCATGCTTGTCCTGGATGAGATATCAGGAGCACATTGAATATTTGTGACCTGGTACATCATGATCAGGAATAAGTTTTTCGTACTGGCCAAGTAAAGACGGGATGTGGGTAAATGTTGAAAAAAATTGATGTGGTGGCTTCTGTATGTTTTGGAAGCGTATGTATAAAAGGTTACTCAAGTTTGGGAACCACACTTTTGTTATCATTTGCAAGTACCGTTGACCATTCACATTCCGTTTGAAAAAGAATGGTCCGGTAAGGACACCATTACCACACAGTTCTATCCAACCAGTGACTTTCTCACGACTCATGTTAAAATTTGGTGGCTGCCCCTTTGGTGCGTATTCAACATTGTTGCAGGTGTGATCTTCTCCATTCATCCTACATGCTGCCTCATCACCAATTGTCAGCCATTCAAGACACCTTTTATTAGACAGCGTTCCAGTAGCTATTGAGCAAACTCCTGGCTCCTCCCGAGGTCTCCTGGCAAAATATGGCAGCATGTGCATTCAGTATGGATGGAACTGCAGGTCTATCCACGTTACGCGGTTTAACGAAGACAGGGACAGTTCAAGTCCATCCCTCCTGCAACTGGTTCCCCTTGGCTGTTCAACAAGTCACTGTTAAACTGCAGCAACGTTTCAGCAATTCACACTGTATGCCTCCCAAATGACCCTCATTCAAATCAAGGCTTGTCCCATGTTCTCAGTAATTGTGCATATTTTCCCATATGGTCGACTTTGCCATGGGATCCCTATCAGGGAGAGCTTCCCTAAATGCAGCTTGGGTGGCTTGAAAGTTCTTAGTTTCAGGAAATTTCATCATGACAAACACTCTTTGCTACATGTAAGTTGCACCATGTTGCAGTCTTGCTGTCCTGCTTTGAACACTTTTCACCACTGCACTGGCCTACATGTACCATGGGCCTCGTCAACACATTTAAACCACATTATTACATGACTTGAAAGTGACAGAAGGCAATCTTCCCGAATAGAAATGACTTAGCCAGCTTTTGTTGTCACTTTCAACCAGGACAAGTATGAGAGAGGACCTCATTCACTGGTTTATCCAAAGTGTTACAACTGAATTTTGATGTCCCATTTTGAAGACAATGGTGTTCAGTCATGTTAGTGATGCATGACAGGAGGGATGCCATCAAGGTACATGTATCATTAGAAATCACACTACTTATAGTTAACAGGCATCCTTGGATTATAATTTTTTCTGGGACACCCTGTACATTACTGTCTATAATACAAACAAGATTTGGGCCCAATTTCATGGCACTGCTTCCTGTGGTATTCTGCGCTTATGAGGCACTGTTGGCACAGGATTTATGGCATGGGCTCCGTAAGAGATGATTCTAAGCATAAAAGGCTATCACAGAAATTTTATGCTTAATGGCTTTGTAAGTGAAGTTATTGTACCTGAAATAATTCACAGCAAACTTGAAAATACCGGTACATAATACACACTGAAGACATAAACACCAAATAATTTATTTGCTCGCTTCTGCTGCACTGAATCAGGATACAGGAAGAAAGTTTCCTTTCCAGGGGTTACTATTGGAAATAAAGTAACCATTGGGGATGAGATTGGTAGTTAAAGGCTCATAGAAGGGTATTTGCCATTAAGGATACACAAAACCTGGACAAACTTAAAATCAACTGAAAACGAAACAAAAATTGCAACATTTTTGTGCTTTCAAACAAAGTTTTAAATTTTCAATTAATTTGGTAATTTTTACTACAAAAATCAGTTGATTTAAATCACAATTTTTAAATCACAATTTTAAATCAAGGAGATTTAAATTGGCCAACCCTGCCAAATACTGACACATGCTAATGCTGGGCATGATTGACCGAGCTCTTCTCCCTATCACTATTCTGCACAATAGGGGGATCCCTTTAGCGCCGATCTGTGCACTTCCGCGTTTGAAAACGAGGCTGTATGTCAGCTTCAGTTTTTAATACGATCAGACGATTGAAATTAAGGAGTCAAGACACAAAATACATAAAGGTATGTTAAATTCAGACTTTTCAGACTGCAAATTTTTGTGGAAGAGTCTTTCAGGATGACTCGATATGTACATGTATTATCAAAAGAGAAACATAACAGCAATTTACCGCAAACTAATGCACCTGCAACAGTAGTGTATCTGTACAGTGGGCATGGTTTCAAATAAAATGGCGTCATACTTGCGAACTGGATACTGCATGTACATGTACTGTGTCGACTCTATGGGCATGCTCGGCGAAGTTCAAAACACAGAGCCTCAGTTTTCGATGCAGATATGTGCAGACAGCACTAATGTGAAATCCCTCTATTTGGTCGATCGATTCTCTAACTTTACTGACCATTTTTAAGATAATTTTCACAACCATCAGTTTGAAAAAAAGGCAACAGACCAATGACAGAATTATCAACAAATCATGCACTAAGATTGGCTGATCGCGCAAAGATAGAGTGATTGCTCAGGCCAGCCACTTGCACCCAACATGTGCACAAGTTGGGCAAGTTTTGGTTGCCACGTCCCTTGTTTTGCCACCAATACATGTACATGTAGGTGGTGAAATTAGGAACCCAGCGACTATTACATGGTCATGGTTGTTAGACCAACTCAAGTACTGTCTTTATATCATGGTTATTCGTGAAGTACCTTTCATGGCACACTTTTACAGTTCCTTTGCCTTTCCTCATGCAGTGCTACCATCCATGTACTGTAACTCTTTCATGAAAAACTCCAATTTCATTCAGTTCAATACTGGTATTACATATGTGCTGCTGAACCTTTGTAAACAAATTTCAATATGAAGTCAAAAAATTATGGCATCAAGAAAATTGGGCACAAATTCAACTGAGTACATGTATTCCCTAACAAGGCGTACCTGAACAAATCTCTGAAAATTCCACATCAACATTTAAAAATATTTTAAAAGTTCATCAGCACTAGTAAGCAGGAGGTCGTGGGTTCGGGTCCCACCC